ATGCAAGTTTGGCTGGATCTCACTAATTTCAGATTTTAAAAGGGGCAGTAACAGCTTTATTAGGATTCCAGTGCTGTCCCCAGGAGAACTGCCAGGCCACTGTTCTGGACTTTCAATACCACCACTTTCTGGTAGAAATGAATTTAAAACTTGTGCTGTGAGTGAGTCAAAATGTGAGGGGCAGCTAGGGGCTGAGCGGGTAGTTTCTATAAAGAGCAACTTGCATAATTACCACATTTCTACTCTCTTCCTCCCATGTCCCCCACCCCCAGCAGCCCCCTCAAAAAGAAGTAGGGCTACTTCTATGATGAATCTTTGAATGCAGAAGAAGCTATGGTCCATGCTGGGAGCAGGCTTGACCTGTTTTCAGTCCACCCTGGGAATGTAACCGGTGGTTACAGCAAGAGCATGGTGACCTTGGGGACCCCTTCCCAGCAGTGCCAGTCAATGAAATGAAAATTAAATGTTGATGACTTGCATGAGACACGTTTCTGTTGCCTCTCGGGTTTTAACTGGAGATGGAGTTAGACCATCTCTGCACAGAGCTGTCTGCTGGCAAAGGCAAGAGCAGAGGGATGGAGGGAACAAGAGCAGAGCAAGTCCTGCAAAGCAGACGAGTGGAGTGGTGAGAGCTGAAGCCTGTACTTCAAAAAACATACCTGAAAAGGAACAAGCAGTTCATACGGGAGCTGGTCTGACCTGCTGAGATCAGAAGTGGACTTTGGAGTAGGGTGAGGGAGGCTAGAGCAGGTACATCTTAGAAGGTTGTCACATGAGCCTGACATCAGATCTAGTTTTGTGCATGGTGGTGGGATGGATGCAAGCTTTCTGTGTCCGAGGTGGTGGGTCTTGTTTGTGGCAGTGAGCACATGAGCCCAGGCAGGTTGTTGCCTGTGCTGTGAGCAGATGGCCTTTTCCAGAGAGGCCACAGATTCTGCATTTCCCTTTCTGGGATTATGTGTTAAAATTACCTTTTGAAAAAATGTTTCTGTTCCTGGACCGGAGTTGGAAGATGCCATTACACAAACTTACAGGTCTGGACTTTGTGAAGGATATAACCTTAGCAGCCATATTCTGCTGCAGGATTTAATTTCAGTGTATGCTACACTTGTGTAAGCTGTGCTCTGAAGGAGCCGTGAGCGGCACACCCCTCCCTCAGCGATCAGAAGTCGCTCTGAATGCTTCGCGACTGGTAGAATCAGTCAAAACAAGTAATTAAGCAACTAATTCAATTCTTCCAGTAAGAAGTGTGGGTGGGGAGAAAAAAACCCCATGGAGGTCATCCTAAGTAACTTAGCCAGTGTGAAATACTTGCTTCAGAAGGACTAGCACAGCTGCCTTTGGGAGCAGTTTACTCGCAGCACTGTGACATTGTGTAAAATGTTACTGCAGAGAAGTGCTGCTGCTGTTCGAGGGAGCAGAATCAGAGAATGGTTTGGGTTGGAAGGGACCTTAAAGATCATCCAGTTCCAACCCCCCTGCCATGAGCAGGGCCACCTTCCACTAGACCAGGTTGCTCAAAGCCTCATCCAGCCTGGCCTTGAACACTTCCAGGGAGGAGCATCCACAACTTCCTTGGGCAACCTGTTCCAGTGTCTGACCACCCTCACAGTGAAGCACTTCTTCCTAATATCTAATCTAAACCTCCCCTCTTTAAGTTTAAACCCATTTCCCCTTGTTTTGTCACTAACTGCCCTTATGAAAAGTCCCTCCCCAGCTTTCTTGTAGCCCCTTCAGGTACTGGAAGGCCGCTATAAGATCTCCCCGGAGCCTTCTCTTTTCCAGGCTGAACAGCCCCAACTCTCTCAGTCTGTCCTCACAGGAGAGGTGTTCCAAGCGGTTGGGTGACCAGGATCAGGTCAGAGGCTGGAACTGCTCACGGTGCTGTGAAATCACCACTGCTTGCGATGAGCACCCCAAAGCTGCCCAGCCTGTGTCATTCATCAACAGGCCCATAGCTGCAAATATACAATACACAGGGTAAGGATGAGCCCCCTGCTCGCCCTGGGTGCTGCAGGCAGGTAACACACACTCCACAGCCAGAAGCACACAGGCTCCTTCCTCAGCCGTTCTCTATAAACAGGTACCATTTCTGATTTTATTTCATCATAACATACAGGTAATGCTCATGACAACAAGAGGAGAAACTCACATCTCTCTGAACCATTTAACCAGCTTGCCATACACCAAAGAACATTATATTCATATTGAACATGTACACATTTCCCCCCTCGCATCTGCACTTTGCTTTCCAAACTTCTAAAAGCCATTTCCAGCATTGTTCAGGTACAGGACACGAGTTCAGACAGGAGACAGGGCACCAGCCTGTGCAGGACATGGGGTTAAGGCTTCATCCCATAGGAACCTGTCCCCTAAAAATACTGAGCCTACAGCTTTGATTCATTCAGTGACTACAGTGAAATCATGAGGAGCCAGAAGACCAGATTTCAGTTCCTCAGCAGGTGATAAACCAAATGAAACCCAAATGCACAGAGAGAAGGGAAGAGCACACCTGTGAAGGAACACAAAAGAGAGGAAGATTCTGTTTCTGCCTCTAGGGATTGATTGGTGTTAACCCCCATTAACTGATTTACATCAAAGACACAGGCTTTGACTGAAATCTGGCCCAGAGGAGCACTGCTAAACCCTTTACATACACCCATGCACACACAGAGCGTGTATGTGCTGAAAATAGCTGTAATGGAATCGCTTTCACTTGCTCTGTAAACAGAGCCAAGTGGCAGTATGGTTAATGAACACCAAGACCTGACAGTGTGCTGTCCCCCTGTCCCTTGTCTGGACCACCCCTTCTTCCAGCATCTCCTGCACACAGCACAAACCCAGTCCCTGGGTTCCCTTACTCCTGGTGCTGCCTCTCTCTGTGCCTTTTGCACTTTTCAGGATCAAGTTAATTGATGCTGTAGCTTTCAGTGCTATTTTCACCACTCCACTGTAGGAAATTAAAGTCACAGCCTAGCCACAAAACAAAACAATGACAAAAATCTTCTCCACTTTTCAATACAGTAAAACCTGAGATTTGAGTCACAAACTAGCTAAACTTACAGTAAAAAAAAAAAAACAAAACCAAAACAAACAAATTTTTTTTAAAAAAACCATAACCCCAGCTGCTGCCGTGAATTAGGGCTTCAGTTTGCTGCTGACAGTTTTTTTTTTAAAGCTGGTGGCCGGGGTAAGTATTTGTTACATGTGATTTACAATTTTCAGCTGCCTGCACTGACCTGGGACAAAAGAAGAGAGTTCTTCCCGACAGGCGTGTTCTGAGGGGTGCTGGGGAAGAGGGAGACAACACGTGCCGAGTTCCCCTCGGAGCAGGAAGGATGAAGCTTTATGCGGTGCCCCGGGTACCCCAAATCTCTCGTGGCGACACGCACGTAAAACAGCCTGAGCAGCAGCAGCAGCAGCCGGGGTGCCGCACACACAGGGAGCGGGAGGGGAAGCAGCTGGGTCGCTGTCACAAACAACAGGCCAAGGGCTGTGCCGAATCGCCCACGAAACACCCGCAGCAGCAGCAGGGAAGTGACAGCTCCTGCAGCTGGCGGGGTCCCTGGGGTGGCGAGGGCCAGGATGCGGTACCAGCCAGCGCCGCACAGCCACGGGTGTCTGCAGCCAAATGACGCAGCAGCAGACTGGGAAACAGACCCAAGGCCGGGACAGAGGACAGCGGCCAGGATCAAGCTCCTCTGATGCTGCGAGAGCAGGAGGGGAGCCGGGTTCCTGTTAGAACTTTCTCTTCTCAAACCCCCTTTCTTTCACACCACACTACGAGGTGGGCTGCTGGAGGTCCCCTTCTCTTTCCTTGGAGAGCCAGCCAGACCTCTCTTTCTCAGATGAGGTCAGCAAACCTCATGAGAAGCTTCTACCTTTGAATCCCTACCGTTTGGGTGAGGATGTTGGGATGGGAAAAAACCCAACCACTTGAATTGTCCCCCCCCAACATGTCACTGGAACCATATATGAAGAGCAGTTCCTTAATGGTACTGCTCAGTTAAGGACAAAACTCAGTTTTACCTTTAAAAACCAAAAAGAAGCCTTCAAGAGCCATCGATTGAATTGTCAACTGGCAAGAAAAGGATGTTGTGGTATTTTACCAGCCACTTATCTTGCTCTTAACCTTAACTATTAACCCCTCTGTTATAGCTTAGAAGCCACAGCAGCTACCCCTCTCCCAGCTTCATATCAAAAATACAAATACTGATTAGTTTATGTTGCAAAAGACTGGGGGGAAACAGTCATAAGGATGGTTCATTCATCTTTTTTTATGAATTGTTGCTCAGCCAACTGAAACACTTGTGCGTAGACAGCTTTAAAAAAAGAAATAAAATAATTAAATGTGGCTAGTCATTACTTGTTCACATTGCTTCTGAACTGACTACCAGCCCCTGGCAGCCATAAAGCCCTACTTTACTTTTTATCTTTTTGAGGTACTGGGTTTTTTTCTCTGAAGCAGCTCTCTAGCTAATCACCTAAGGCCTATCCAGTAGAACAATAGTTACACCAGTATTTACATCTGTCTGAACGGTGTGTTCAGACCAGCCTTGCTGTAACCAGTCCCTACGTCCTTTGGAATCGCTCCCGGTCTCCTTCCTTACAGGGAAAAAGGTCTCCCTCCAGAGGTTGGCTCAGTGTCAGGGCTAAGGTGCACTGGTGAAGACGTGGGGCACGAGGAGGGGAAAACAACACTAGATTTGATGGGTAGGAGCGTGTTTCAGTGGAACCAGAGAAAAGTTTGGATACCCATAGAGCTTCTTTTTTAGAAACCACTGAAAGGATGTGCAATCCGTTGCGTGTAATTGCCTCCTCTGTCAGGGAAAGGTCTTTGAAATGTTCTGCCCTTCTCCAGAAAAGGGGAGGAGAAAAACTCAGCAATACACTTGGTCTCCTGGGGCAGATGCTGGCTTGTTGTTTCTATGCCACATTGATCTAGTCACTGTGTTCACACTGAAGCCTCACGTTTCCCCCACTCCCCCCATTTATGCACAAAGTTTGTTCTTTTCAGATTTACAGGGACCACTCAAAGGCTGGGGGAGCAGCTGGAGGGGGAAGCACCTCCGAGACAGTCACACAAGCCTGCTGCCCCTCAAGACACTTCAATGATTTCCATGCTGCCTGAAAAGCTCGACTGACTGCCCACTTTCCCCAGTTCTTCTCTGGATCTGTTGTCTGACATGATGCTCTCCCCAAATTCCATCTGGCAGCTTCTGCGCTTAAACTGCTTTTCAAAAGAGCTTTCCTCATGCCAGCTCCGCCTGGAGTCACCCCGGTCCCCCTGCTTTGCCCTCCTGCGCACGGCACAGGCCTGGTCGCAGCCCGTGGGCAGCTGACTGCAGCTGTAGGCAGAGTAAGCAGCGCTGTTCCCGTAGATGGCGGAGGCAGAGTAGAAATGCGAGGACTCAGCTGCAAAATACCAGCTGTTGGTAAGGGACGTAGCCGATGTCTGAGGAGCCAGGATGTCCGAGTGCCAGCCTTTGAGGCCCAGCCCAGCAGCAGACTTTGCCAAATGCTGCTGGCTTGTGGAGAGGCCAAACAAGAAGTTCGTTCGGTAGTTGTCTTCCACGCTGCCGCTCCGATGGAGGGGGTACAGGAGTGACCGCTGAGTGGTGGCACCGCCGCCGGCTCTCCCCAGGTGCTGCCGTTTGCTCTGGCTGTCCAGCTGCCAGGTGTTCTGGGCCTTCTTGGGAGGGTTTGCTTCCTCTTTGTCAGGGCTGGTTTCTGGAGTCTGCTCCGAAACCTCCTGGACAGGGGAGAACTGACACAACTTGCTGCTGCCCTCTAAGGCAGCCGCGTGTTTGTAGTATTCCAGGGTGTCTTCGGAGGAGGCAAAGCCCTGAACCGATGCAGTCACACAGTTGCTACTTGCCGAGTAGGACACGGATTTGATATCCAAGGAAAAGGAGCGCTTCAGCCGGCTGCTGTCTTCCACCTTATCTAGGGAGACGTGCAGTCCGTTGATGCCCTGTACCAGCGGGCCGTCTTCCAGTGGAGACAGATGCCCACGGGGCACACTGCTGCAGTCTGTCGGCTTCGGTTCCACGATCTCGGAGGTAGCGGTGATGCAGAGCTGGTTAGTGGAGAGGCTGCTCTGCCCACCTTCTGGGACCAGCACGTGCTCGCTGCTTTTTTCCAAATGCAGAAGTTTCAGCTTACTAATATGTCCAGGCTGACCGCTCTGGTTCTTGATCTTCTTCTCAAAGTCCAAAAGCTGGCCCAGAAAGTTGAAGTTGGGAGAAATGGTTGGCCTCTTTTCTTTCACAAATCTGGAGAGAGGGGGACAAACAAACCAAGAATTAATTTAAGGACCTGCTGCTCAGACCTGAGATAACCTTAGAGTGACTGTTGTGAATGTTAACAACTCAACTCATCAGGATGCTTGGACTGAGGTTCAATCAAGCACAAGTAACTCAATGATGGAGTTAAATAAAGGCAGCTTTTAAGCAAGGTAATGCTGGATGCTCTCAATTCTCTGTAGCTTACTTAAAGGTAGCTAAAAAAGGGGAAAAGAAAGCATTTTTTTTAATCCCTTTGTGATGTTCACAACAAGGTTTGAGTGAATCATTTTCCTTATTTTACTTCACCAGTGTGGGATCTCTGCTACCTCCATTTCTGAGCAGAGTTAAGAGCTCCTCAGGTTCTGCAGGAACAGCACCCGCACTCCAGCCAAGAGACTTTGGCCTCCCCTGCACTGCAGACAGCAGACCACCTTCCCCACCATTCCAAGGGATGAAATTCCATGTTCCTTTCACCCTCTCATGCTGCTGTTACTGCAGTGAGCGTATCCTGCCCTGTTTATCTTTGTCAGGCAAGACAAAGAGCTCTGGTATACACTGACCTTATACAGCAAATGCCAGTGATTTCTACCACACTCTGGTATTGATACCAATATGATAATCAAAAAGAAAACCAGAAATGAGCAAATGCAACATTGAAACAAAACTGTTCTCTTGAGTTCTGTAGGTGCCCAGCAGCAAAGGGCAACAGCACTACCCAACCAGTGGAAGAGCAAACCGTGTTTGGAGTCCTGCAGGAAGCAGCTGGACTCGCGTATACGCGCTAATCTACGCACGTGCTGACGTACTCGGTTCAATATGGACAAGGTGCAAGTGCATATTTAAAATGTTGTCCTGAACCAGGACTCCAAATGTATGAAAGACTTTGAAGTACGTGACGTGACTTCTGATACACTTTTTCTTAAGTTGCCAAACGATACTAGACAATACTAGGAATAGCAGAGCTGATGTGATGACCTAGAGGATCAGGCTGCACAAAGTGACAGTGAAAACTTCCACCATGAAGTGCCAATGCTGCTAAATGGAGATAACTAGTAAGCCTCCTCAGAAGATATCTCCTAAGTCGATCTCCTAGCACTGAATTTGAGGGCTTCCATTCCAGCATAAGCAATCTGCTCGTAAGAATTCATACAATCTTCATTTGTTCTTTTCCAGCCAAAGCTGGTTGTACTTGTTACTGGATTTCTTATTTAAAGCAAGATCCTTCTGGTCAACACTGCCCTTTCTGGCCTGTGTTCTGGTAGCCTCCCCCTTCCATTTTCTCCTTGTCTCACCTCAAAATATTGGGCAGTCCTAAATTTAAAACTAGCTTTTTAAAAAATGAAAAGGTTCAAGAGAGTCTGCTGGATGCCCCCAACAAGATTTAAGGCTTTGCAAACTTTTTCATATCAAAATGCACACTTTTTTCCAATTGGAAAACATGTATAACAATTTTTGTGTTTGTTTTCCTTGTATCATTTATACAAAAGAAAATATTAAGAACATTTTATTTCCTCAGATCTGTCACTTCAAATAACAATGTCACCTTTTTATTTTTGTAATAGTGTCAGACATTTTATCTAATGACTTTCATTAACTCAGAGAGAAGTATTTTTCTTTCAGGCTTTGCCAGCAAGAGATCCCAAACCAAGGAGTGAAATGTGTTGCAGACAGTTCTCACTAAGCCGTATCAAAGGAAATACAGCAAAATACAATCTAAATTTCACAGTAGTTGTTCAGTATTAACAGTGCAAAGAAAAAAGGCCTAGGGTGATTAAGCCTCAACTGACACTTCTGGTGACAAAACAAACTAGAACTTAACGCAGAGATTTCACAGAGGAATTCAGAAGCAGCGCTTGACCAGTTCCCTGAAACACGTGTGTTTTAGAAGTGTTTAGTACTCCACAGCTCTAACCTCCAGACCACTGAGTTTTCACCTGTGCCTCCTAACCAGCCTGTTTCACCACATGTGTTGAAATGACTGCACAACACCAAAGTGGCAGCAGGCTCTAGTAAGAGACCGTGGAAAACTTCTGAAGGCAACAGGAGATGGTTACAGCTCAGGCACCTCTTACGTGCACTTTTTTCACTGCATATATGACTCTATTCATCAGCTTAAAAGAAACTGCCCCATGGAAATCACTCTCCACAAGAGAATATCAAATGTTCATCTTCCTGTGCTCCCTGGTGTTTTACAGACAGTAGCAGCAAACACACTGGTGATGTGGAAGGTCCTCTCCTCTCCACCTGCTCCAGCTCAACGGTTCAATCGCTTCTGCACCATACCTGTTAACAGCCACGTGTCAGCTGTGCCCACTGGCCCACAGAGCCACAAGAAAACCATCTTTTTCTCTGCAGCACAACAAAGCAGGTTGTTAAATGAAACTGAAAAGTCCTGGTAAACTGCAGTCACGCCACCTGGAACCCCATGAAGTGTTCACAATCCAAGTACAGAAACATGGGATTTGAAAGGTTAGAAAAGGGGGGTGGGGGAAGGTGGTCCCACAAAAATCCCCTGATGCCACAAAGAGCCAATATTTAAAGTACTTTCTGGTTGAGTTTAATAGCAACAAAGAAGCTTTCTTAATTCCTAAACATGTCACCTGCAGGCAGTTCTTTGAGAGCATTACCAAATAAACTGCCATCAACAGCTCCAGCCCAGCATTTGCCCAAAGCCTGATTATAAATATCCTCAGTTCTCTTTCTTTAACTCTACCCATTCCATTCTCTCTCTGACTTACAAGATATGGTTATATGGGTGGTATATGTGATATTATACGTGTACATACACACATCTTTAGTGAGCAGTTTAAATTCTACCACTCAGAGCAAAGACCATCATCAGCATTTTGCAGGTGGGCAATTAATATTAGCTGTGTGATGTCTACACAACACCACTGATTTGTTTATGGAGGAAACCTACATTTAAAACAAGAGTGTGCAGAGTGAGCTACTGGATAAAACAACACATCTGCTTCTACCCTTGGTCGTACAACCTTCTATCATTCACCTTAAAAACAAGCCAAGAGGCACAAGAATTAGTATGAAGGGAAACTTTCTCCTTACCTGTAGGCTTCATCTAAGGACATATCCATTCTCTTCATGATATATGCAATAGCGATTGTGGCAGAGCGAGAGATTCCAGCTAAACAGTGCACTAACACACGGCCATTTGATGCTTTTGCTTTTTCTGCACAGCAAAGAAATTGGCAAGCGTCACACTCGGCAGCTTTACACCACGATGAAAAGTTTGCAAAAAAAGCAATCTTAGTTAAAATTGTTCAAAACTTCCAAATCAAATGCTAACTGCAAATCTCATGGAAGCTTTAAACAAAAATCACTTATTTTCTCTAGCACTGTACAGCATTCAGTATAGAAGCAGCATGCGACCACACACAGGAAGCATCCTGCAGTTACAGAGTACTGCGTTTCAGTGTGCACATAAACAAACCGATTTCGGTGTCTGGGAAAGGTGATTGTTTCTCATTTCATATGCAAGTACAAAGCAAGCATTCAGGATGGAACAATCTGGACAGTTCAAATTTGGCTAGCTCACTTTTCAAAGCTAAAGGCAGGATGTGTATATCCAATTTTCTAATTTCTAATTTTCTCTCTCTGCAGGCATATATCGGGTATCTCCAGGTTGCCAGAAAGCAGAGTTGTGCTTTTAGAAAGTGTCTTTGTTCCTCAAGTGCTGGAACACACAGTGGCAGAATCTCCGTGCGTTATTTTGCTTCTATGCTTATAAAGCGATCGTGATCATGTACGCAGATCCTTGGGGTATTTTCATACCACCCAGAAAGCATTCAGGTCTTCTCCAGCCAAAACATGAAGGCAGACACACAAAGGAATCCAGAAACTGGTTTTAGAGAATTTAAATTTTCTTCTCACCTATAAAATCAACTGATTTATCCAACCAAGGCAAAATTTTCTCACAAAAGCTGTCGTTCACAGGCACTCTCAGGAAATGGGATTCCGGAATAAAATCAGGCTTTGGACAAGTATTGCTGGCGTTTAGTACATAGCCAATGTCATTCTGCTGCATCAGCTCCTAGGAAAGAGAGAAAGATTAAGCCTGGAGGAGTCAAGTGGTACCTTTGGCACATTACAAAGGAACTATGAACCCAAAGCACATCATAAAGCTACAACCCAAACTGGAATTCACGTTGGAATTGTTCTAGTTGTATTAGGGGCATTATTTTTCAGGGGCGGGGAGAAGACATTTCCTCAGCTTTTAATTCTTCAAACAACTTTTAATGAGATGTCCAGTGTGTGCAAGTAAGATATGGACTGCAAAGCCCATGCAAACAAAGTTAACAAAGAACAGAAATAATGGTAGAATACCTTCTGCTACTAGTATGAAGCATCACTTCCAGGAGAATGCATTTTTTTGCTACTTTGGTTTCAATTCTCACCATGCAAGCTGACAACATAACCAAACACTTCCCACATGTAGTTTTCTGGATCACATATCTAAGTCTGAAGTTGCCCCATCACAGATACCAGTGAGAAATACGAAATGAAACTGATGCCTCCTGCAGTCACCTCTTAAACTATCTGGGACTTCCTCATTTCTAAGGCAATGGTGCAAAACTCACTCAAAACCTTGAGAGAAAGAGCTGAGTAAGAGTGAAGACCTTGAATTAGATCTTTTCACATAACACTATTTGCAGTTTTATAGGAGTTCCGCTTTGTAGTTTACAATTCAATTGCTCATATTTCAGTTTTCAGTCTTTAGTCCTCTTGCACCTCAGAGATGAGCTTTTTAAGTAAGTCTTTGCATGACTGCAAATAAAAAAAGAGACACCTCTTCTCTGCACCTTGCCATACTCTTCATATTTAGCGTTGTGCAAAGTAGGATCTGATGCAGTAGATAACTTAGTGCCAAAACGTGTGAAACAAGTACAAGAGAAGTAGAAATAGCTCTACCAAAACCATCCAGTCTCCTGCAAGTAAGCATCTTGCCACAGCAAAGCAATTAAGCAGGCTGGAGTAATAGTGATCAAACAACTTTTCTGGTTCAGATATGATTTGGCAGCAAGTGACACGCAGTGCTGGACAGTAGTTACACTGAATACAAACACTGGGGAGCTTTGGGCCAGATCTCTATGGAAACTAATGTCTGAAACTAAACTGAAACAGAAAAAAAAGCAAAAAAAAAAAAAATCTGATTTTAATCCTTTTGCTTTTATAGCAATTATATTAAAAAAAAAGTTATGTCAGTCCATGGGAACAGTGGCAAGAATGAATTCTTACACTGCAGATTTCAATTGGAGGTCTGTCAGTATGAAAATAGAGTCATAAAGCCAAACAGTTGCTTCTTCCCCATACATATTTTTTTCTGCAAGCATAAGAAAGTTTTGGCAAGGAGAAACAGGGATATGGCTAGTTAGCTGAACAGACAGAACTCTTATCTTTTTCAAACCAGAGCAGTTTAAATACTGTCTGATATTTACTATACAGGTACACCACATGTATGTTACAGTGTGCACGTAGGAGGGTTGAATACTCACACAGATGCATGCGTAAATTAAATGTTCAGTGAGAACAAAGGACTGCAGGGGAGAAGAGAATCTACCTCAGTCATTTACAGAAGGAAGCGTTACAATTGCTACGGGCTGCATTTTAGACAAGGAATTTACATGAGTCTCTGCTAGCCAGCTGAATTTTCTTATCTGGAGCAAAATGAGCAGCTCCTCCAAACTTTCACCCAAAGTCCCTCACATCAGCACATTCAGAGGTGCCTGAAGGTGTGGGCAGCTTAAACTAATGAACATATATTGTATCATAAACATACCTATCCAAGAGGAACAGATGATGACCAGTTACTTGCAAAGCAAATAATCAGAAATATAATTTGCAGCAATGGTAAAAAAATAAAGTATGTATGTAAAGATAAGTTCTCAGCCTCACTGCTTCTTACCCTGCTAGTTTCCTAGGTCGTGCTCCCAGTAAAGCTCAGCTTGTCATCAATGACAACAAATTCCAGTATGCCACTGACTTCCCCCTCTCCCTTCCTTCCCACCTCCCCAGCTCAACCAGCAAGCTCCCTCCAGCCCTGCATGCCTTTCGCAGCGACTGCATCGCGCCTCCCTTTACTGTATGTAGCTCTCACACATCAAGAGACCTAAAAGTTTAAAAGCAGCAGGGCTGTAAGGAAGTAGGGGAATATTTTGAATTCTCCAGAGAGGGAAGGTATTGGGAATGGGGTTCTTGGCAGGGGGCACTAGCTACCACTAAGCCTGTGGTATTTTACATGTGCAAGGGAGACCCCTGATCCCCAGCATCTCTGCCTTGCTGTCCTGGGCGACACAGCTCTCCCCTGCTAGGATCCCAAGCTCTTCAGCATCAGCTTCCATAAAATAAGTATCTGCTTTAGATCACTGAAATGCTGCCCTCAAACTGCTGTCGTTGCGTAAGGGTGAGCAAGGAACAACTGGAACAGCAGGGACAAAAGTACCTGCAAGTCATGAACATTCTCATCTATAAAGGAGGGAAGTGATGAAGGTATCGCTAACAAATGGATTGCCACGGTGCAAGTTTGTTCAGAATACAGCTAAGGGGAGGCTGATTAATTTAGACAAAGAATAGAAAACCTTATTATTTCTTTTAAAGCATAAGCACTGGTGGACTGCACAGTCCAGCCATCACAATTCCACAGTTATGCAAGGTTTTTGATGTGGAATTGATTATTCAAATGGGAACAAGAAGGCTGCACATGCCAAGTCTAAAATCTCTGAGCCAAAAAACACCCACAAATGTGTTAGTGCTTGTCTTTGAGACTCAGGGTAAAGAAAGAAGTTATGCTTCCTTCTGTTCTAAAGTATCAATCGTTCCCTGTGCAACACGCTCCAATATAATAACCATAACAGTGCCTTCATTGTAAGGCACCCAAGAGGAAGAAGTGAATTACGATGGGAGGAAGATCCAGAAATCCTAATACTAACAACTTTGTGAAAAGAAGGTAAATGCTCTTTTGTCAGCGTATTTACATTTTTTTACTTGTTTAATCTGAAAGCTAATGGCACCCTAAAATGTTATTTTGTTTCAGGAAATAAAATCCAGGTCTGGAAGAAAAGAAAGAGAATAGTTATGTAAGTAACAAAGCAGAAAGTTTTACAGTTTAAACGCTGGTACAAAACATGAGATGGAAGTTGGAGGCTCATTCAGACCCATAACCACAACACAATTTTTTTCCGTTATACTAACTTCCAGAGAGGACACCGTCACTGGGAGAATTCAGGTTAGAATTAGTTTGTCTCTTTCACAAAAAGCACTAAAGATCTGTAAAAGTAAGTACCCTCTTGCAATGCCACCAGTATATCATGCTGAGATAACCACCAGTGTATCACACTGAGACCCAAGAAGTGAAATGAACTTCTCAGTTAAAACTTTTATGTAGAACTTTTTAGTATTTCAACCCTGCAAAAAAAATATTATGAACATTTTCAGAATTCAGCATTTAGAAAGAAATCTGTAAGGCAAAAATACAAAGAATCTCATAAGACTTTTCTGAAGTAATCATTCATTTTGCCTAAGGACACAAACCAATCATTTATTTATGAAAGACACACAAACACAAAGCGTTACCAGCAGAGCTATTAATGACAAACAGCATTAGTATTCTTAAAAGGTCATAAATACATATTGTCCTGCAACAAGACAAGTATTTCCCTTTCCCAGAGATAAGCTTAAAAAGATCCTGAAAAGATTAGCTCATCTTTATAAAACATGCTGAAAAGTCGCATCCTCAATTGCCAGGTTGAACTGTAGTGCAGATTAAGGCTTCTTTTTGCAGATATTTTTGAGACATTTAAATTTTAGAGAAATCAGTATGTCTGGTCAGCGGGAGGAATAATGGGAACTCACAGATAGCATTTGATGGCAAAAATAAGGCCAACATATACAAGTACATCTTATAGTTTTGAGAATCTTACTAGATTTTTTCAGAAAATTATTCTTTAAAATCTGAACTTGAATTAAAAAAACCCAAACTATTCTAATCTTAACAGAAGGTTGATTTCTTGTTGCCAGTAAGCAACAAAGCAGGAAGGCCATTAAACCGGGTCATGCAGACGTAACCACTTACCACCTCCTGGACTGTCCTAACAGAGACAGAACTTTGCTATTTTGCTACTTATCCCTGTTTTTTGTTTCTCCCCCCTGCCCCTTTTTGAATGTTCTTCACGTCCCACCTTTCTTAGCATGTATGGATATTTGTGGGTACTCAATGTAGTAAGGGTCTTCTTCCTTGCTCTTCCTAATACCCCTGCACAGGATGCAGGCTTCCCCAGAAGCAAAGTGTGTGGGAAGGCAGCAGAGATCTGCCCATCACGTTTTGAGCATGCTGATCTCTAGCTACCACTAACTTTGAGTTGAAACAAGAACCAGATTAAACCCAGGAAACTGAGAACGGCTGATAGCTGGGAACAGATCGAGTGGATTCTAAGAGACAGAAATCATAGTTTGTTCCCACAGCTTCTGTACAGATATTAAAGAAGGAAGCCATTTCAGATTTTCCACTGGCAATCACTGAAACTGAAGAGGCAAGATAGGCTACCAAGACACTAAGGTCTACTTCAGTGCAGCAAACAAGTGATGTGCTCACAATAAAGTACTGCCTGCTCTTTCTTCAAAGCAAGAGGACAAAGGCACAAGCAACAACTGAAATTGTAAGATGTGGTTTTGTCCTTAATTAGGTAAGAAACCTAAGAGGTACCTTAGTCACCTATGGAAGAACTCTGAAAAGATTGACTGTCAAGGATGACACCAGGCAGTAAGAATTTACTGAACTTTCTGTGGATTGTATGCTGTGGGTTTTGTGGTTTTCCATTAAAAAAAGAGGGAAACTCAGTGATCCTTGATTGTAATGCCCCAGAATATGTGAGGAAGTACAAATATGACAAACTCCTGGGGGTCCTACAGTATCTGCAGCTGCAGTGCTTCCCAATATCTGATGGACACATGCTGAAATAATATCAAGATTGGAGATTAACAGGCATGAGAGCCACCACCAGGTCTAAACCCTTCCTGTAGACAGCTCTGTCACACGTTATAGGGCTGGAGGAGGTTTTAATTCCGGACCACTGCTACCGCTTGGATTCCTTTCCTGGTGAGGCACACATGCTGTGCCTGCACCCAGCGCCTTTTCATAGGCACCACTTCTCTGCCGGCAAAGGTAACAGTCTCGTGCATCCCTCTGGGATTATTCACCACTTAAGCATTGGAGTTCCAGACACATCCCAAATGAAGTAGCACATCTCTGCCCTGGGGGAGAACAACTTGCCCCCTCACCCCCAGTGACCTAGGATAGCACTTGACATTCACCATTCACACACTGAAAAAAGCAGCATAAAACCATCTGTCTAATACTCTACCATTTAAAGCAAGTTGGTTTTTGTTGTTTTTTTGTTTTTTTTTTTAATTCCTTAGTTCCTGGCTGTCTTTTGTCTGGGGACCACAAATTACTTTTATGGTAGGAACAGCAGTAAGCTGCTTTGACATCCATCATAAGGGAATCAAGTCTGAATTGATGACTTGCTACCTGGCAGTAAAGACACGGAAGATTTTAAAGGACAAAGTAAATGCAGTGACTGCTGACTCTCCTCCATACACAGGATTTTTCTGCGTGCTCTGTTAAAGCACAATTACCTTCTACGTGATTGCTTGCATGCCAAAGATCCCCTTAAAACAATTGTGAAAAATCCCCAAATAGCCTATTAATGGCCAGACTGGGACAGACTGAAAGTAGAAAAAAACAGTGAAAATTATGATAATGTCAAAGTATATGAATTTGATCCAATTACAGGACTATTAGGATAGTTCCTGTCTTAAGCTTTCTAAATGGATAAAAACCATACACATAAGCCTTGCAGATAATTAAGGCAATATGCTAGGGTGAGGCACTCCTCCCCTCTCCCTCATCCATGTATTTAATGCCAGCTCATGAAGGCTGTTGGAGATTCAACTAATGAATAGGACTGTCAGATAATACAGGATGCAAGAGGGCACATGCAGCAGAGGTAATACAAATTCCCTCCTGAAGGGACCCAAGTTGCAGACTGTAAGCAATATGAGTTGCTCTCCTCATGGGGGCAAACATCTGTTGATATACACAGGAATACGGACTATAGCAATTTGAGGCAAGCTCTTTTAGACATGATAGTCCAGCAAGTACTGTATCTGACGACTTTGCTGACTATTTCAAGTATACCAAAATATCCTGGGCTAGTCTATAGGAACAAAAATTATTAAATGCACATGTATTTAGAAACAGTAAAAATTTCTTAGTGCAGTGCTACTATAAAAGCTCACTTTAAATGACCCCTCTGATTGTCCAAGTCTGAACATTTTATTAGGTGTACAAAGATTGGTTTGCTGTAGTCCCTCATTATACAGTTCATGGTATTTAAGTGTTATTTTTTCCAGCACTTAAAGGAAATACTAAAAACCAGACAATCTTCCTTTGTCCTACTGTAACTATTAACATATTAAAATCCAAGACCTGCCAAAACAAACCAGTCAGAGCTATACACAGGGAACTACCTCACCTGCTGTCATGGCAGATTTGATAGTTTACTGTTGGTTGATAGGTTACTGAAGAAGGTACCATATCATCTGCTTTGAGATGAAGGAGAGAGGAGACCAAGTTTCATATTACATGACACGTGGATTAATTACATGGTCTGTATACCATTAGTTCTCACATAGCTTTCCATGGCTTGTGCACAGACAGCTATTATCTAGATCTACTGTAGATGTTTTATAGCTGAAATGATGCAGCATGAGAGAAGCATGGGTGAAGACACGTGGAGATGATATACTCATCCAAATAAACAACACGACACCCATGAACACTCACCTTGTTGAGGACATCCCGCTGACACCCAAGATAGAGATGAGGCAGGATTCTGGTTGGGCCAGTGTTGGAGACAGGTAGGCAGGGTTGAGAAATGCAAGTAGGGACAAGTGCAGATTTTCCTTCACAGAGACCAGGG